ACTGCAAGAAATGTTATTTGGGGTCATGTGTGTGGTTGTCTCAGGGAAAAAGCACAAGGAAACCATTGCATGGTGTGGCACATGATAGTGACTGGGAGAGCACACTCAAGATTTCTCTAGGGTCAATTACAAAAGCAGGAAACATTTCCACATGTTGGCTTTGGAGATACCACCTGAATGGAGCTCATGTAGTTGGTGTGTCATCCTGCAGAGCAGCGTTGTGCCAAGGAATGAGCTCAGATACCAAAGCAGTGCTGGAAGTGACAGCTGTGACTGAGGCAGCAATCCCAGCTTCTCAGCAGAGTTAGATAGGTTTAAAATGTGCTCTGTTGATAGTTCTGTACCTCTTCTTGCTAGGAGATAGCCTTGTTGATGAGGCTTTTCCAGGGTTTTCACACCACACTCCATTGCTTGTTGGAGACATGCCTGAAATGTCCTGATTTGCTACTGACTGCTTCATTAGACTGGTCTAAAAACTTACTAGAGTAAGTTTTGCTTCAGAGTAAAATACCACCTGGACTTTTTACTTTTTTTTTTTCTTTTTGCTATTTGTTGGCATAACTGGTACCTTGAGAGTGCCACAAACATAGGTAAAGAGGTGTGAGGTATAGGCTTGCGGGCATGAAAGTACACAGACCAAATTCTCATTACAGTAATGTTACCCTCCTCCCAGTCCATTAATATGTAGTTTAAGGTTTGACACAACTGGAAATTAAACATTATTGGGTAAAAGAAAACAGGCTTTCATTAACGCCTCAACTGTACCCATTGTTTGGTGATAGGATAGGTAAGGTCTTTCTGTATTAACCCTTCAGAATCCATTATAAAAGCATAATCCACAATGTTTAATAATAGCTGAAATAGCAGCAACAATAATATGTTGGGGTTTATTTTTGTAGAGAGGAACCCTTTCAATTATTTTTTATCATTGTGTTATTGATCTGCCTTTCTTTTTGTTTAAAACCTGACAAAGCCTTGGGGACCAGTGTCTGCAACACTGATGGAGAGCTGCAAATACTGTTTCTGTGTATGGAGGTCTTTTTTTTCCTGGTATTTTTGAAAGATAGGCTCTTGATCACACTAGCAGGGATCTATTGATTTATACCTTAGGCTCAGCTCCTGAGGACAAGTCATGCTACATTCTGTAGGCTGTATAAAAAAATGCTATTGTATTCCCCCATGTGTTGATAAATTCTGTGAAAAAGGATACATATTGTTAAGAGAACTTCAGTGATAATACTTGTAAAATCTTAGCATGTAGATGAAGCATGACTTTCGTGCCACATATAGCCCCACCAGTGATCCTGCAGTTATCCAATGCACATTACTGTCCGCACACTCACACACTGTGCCAGTCTATCAATCTCTCCTCTTTGCTTTTAAAGCTCTGAAATTCAGGGTGAAAGGTTCCACAAAAAAGCAGCTACCTTATTCTAGTACTGTGGGGAGACTTAGAAAGAGTCTTTCGATAGCTCACTCATATTCATGATGTTGACCAATGGCTTCTGAATTTTCCTTCCATGATGAAACAGCTAATATTCTGCTAATATTTTTGGTGAAATACTGGAATACCTGGAAACATTATCTGCTGAGTGTCAGTGCTGAGGTGTTCATCAAGTACATACTTGTCTTAAAAACGGGATGGTCAGCAGAGAGTTTCTTCATTCATGTCAGAGTAAAAGTTATGTCTGTGTTACTTCATCTTGAGTAATGTAACTTTCATTACGTGTTGTGAGTACCTGAAAAGTGTAGTGCCTACAAAAGCATTTCCCACTTAAATAAAAAAAAGGGTGAGTATAAAAACTTCACACTGCTTTTTTTTCTTTTAGTTTTGTGGCTAAATCACAACATTGCACAAATTGCATTCTGTTTAATTTTAAGTAGAATGTTTTAAATTCAGTCGGAGTAAAATGAAAGGTTCTGAAAATTTCTTTTCAGAAAAAAAAAATTATATGCTGAAAATGAAGGTATTTCCCTTTTCCAAATATCTCCATTTTACAAGTTCAACTTAACATTTTACATTGCAGTTTTAATTTCAAAATGGAAAAATACACTCAAGTATCTTAGTTTTTCTAAATTCAACATATTCACTTGAGCAATACTTATGTAGTTTAAATTTGCTTATAACTTCATTTTTCATCTTAATTTTTTTGCCTTACAGGGTTTGCTCAGTCATAATTTGTACTTGCAAGTTTCTCTGGAGATATGAAAGTGCTATTGGCAAAACCCAGTTATCCTGTTCATATAGATAGCATGATTTCTTATTTGACTTATTCTGATGAAATTGTTCCCTTGCTGAAAGCATCTAAGCCAAGATGGCAGACAGCATTCCTTATTTCCTTCTTAGGAAAATTGAGAAAGTTTCACCCATTTCATCATCCTGTCTGATGAACAACAATTAATTGGAAAACTATTTAGGTGCAAGAGATGTTATGTGCAAGATTCATTTAACTTTTACATTAATTGTTGGCAGTTTGCCATTCTTATCAGTTCTTTATTTGAATTTGCCCTTGCATCCTTATGCATTTTTTTTTACTATAGGTTTCTTACATGAAAGACAGTTTTGTTTTCATTTTTTTATAATTAATTCTCATAAAAAATAAATTGTCAAGATGTAATGCTTCACTGATGTTATCCTTCAACTTAATTATAAGATGATCAGAGGCTGATTTCACAAGCTTTTTGAATTTGAGCTATATTTTCAGATATTTTCCAACTACCACTGAAAAAACTCTTGTCTAACCTTTTAAAAATAAAGACAGTCAAAAAACAGGAAGTAACACCTTTAGATCTAGACGCTGGAAATTGCTTACCCTCATGTGTATGGGTGCATCTAATTCCTCTGCAAGATTTTTTGTTGTCTGTAACCAAAATTCTCCTGCCCATTTTTAGATGTGACTATGTTAAGCATAGTATGTTTGGCAGGAGTGGGTACAACACACATAACCAGGGAGTCAGCTGCAATATCCATTTGCAAAGCTGGCTCAGGGAAATGAGACTGTAAGTGTAGGAGCAACGAATTTCTTCAGTTAAGAGAAATGAATCTGTGCCTGATTTGTGTTCCCCGTGCCTCTTGTTACAAATATGAATTATTTTTCTAGAATTTCTTTTTGTTCTTGTTGCATGAGGCAAACACTAATATTTACCTTAGAGATGTTGTTTCCAAACATTGTCTTTTGTTTTGGTATGCCTAAATGGCCTTACCGTGTATTATTCAACATTTTTTTTTTCCTCTGTTACCCCGGAGTTCACCATGTGTGGTATATTTAAAGAGCTTCACATGAAACTGAGCGCTCTGGCTTCAGATAAAGCTAGTGACAGGTGATAACCATTCCAATCTTAAGAATTAGGACCACTTTCTGCAGTTCCCCTCCTGAGCAATCATTCTGAGGATCACCATCTCCATGCTTTCTAGGGTACTTGTTATAAATTCAGTTTGATGTACCAGTACACTTTAATCTGTACTATCTCACTCCTGTCAACTGTTCTGGAGAGAGAGTACACCCTCAAATCTTTCTTTACTTGTGTTTGATTTGCAGATCTGATCACCATAATAAAAAAAATAATTATTTTTAGGGAATGGGATCCACTTGTTACAGCTTAGTCGCATTACTGGCAACTGCATTTTAGCAGCTAGTGAACAAGTTTTCTAAAAATGCATGCTTCACTTCCCTAAAGTGACTAAAAGGTAGTAGATGCTTGTGAACACCTCCAGGGGGAGATCCTGTCTGCTGGAGTTTCACATGCCTGTTTTAACAATACATGTCAAAACAAACAATTTGTTTTCAAATGTGGTTGGTGTCTTGCAATTAAAGACGTGAGCCATGCCATATCCTATTACTAAGGCTACACGGAGTGTCCTTCTGTGCTTGACTGTACTGACATGCAGGTTTCATTAAGGATTGTGGCTCATTAGGCGGTTGGGACTAGACTGCTCTTATCGGACTGCATGTGAATCTGGAGACAATTTTCTTTTCACTGTCAAAGCACCTTTGGACTAGGGACTCTTTTCTTAAGACCTTTGAGAGTGTTTACAAAAGCTTGCAAATATCTGTCTTTTACTTTTTTTCCACAGAAGCACGCCTGTTCTCATTACAAATATTCTTTCATACTTTACCGTTTCAAGGACTCCTTGTATTTTTTTCCTGCCATTTTGGGCTGGCATGATGATCACAGACTTAATCACATCAAAAACAAACTCATAACCTTTTATCACTTGCAATGTTTTCCACGTTCATTAGTCCCTGGAATCTGCATGCTTGATTGTTTAATTTGAAATCTGTTACTCTGTTTTTCTCCTAATCTTTCCAGAGATATATTCTCTGTTTTTTTTTTTTCTCCTCTAGATCAAAACATGAGCTTTCTGACTCTTAGAACATTCTGTGAGATTAGAATCAAAAGACAGTAAATGAACTAAGGTAAGCTTTTCCCTAAAAATATCTACCAGAAACCTTTTTTGATATATATAATAAAACGTAATTATTGAGTTGTCTAAATACTTCAGTATTGTTTTCTTTTTACTTTTCTAAAAGACTTACATAGTTCTTTTTAGCTATAGTTCAGTAAAAACTTGTGACCTCTTTTTCTCTTTAATGACCACTGAGTGTACTCACTTAGTGGCCGTTCTAGTGACTGTATGATCTTAGAACAATGAGTTGGATTCATTCTTGATTGACCTTTATTAAATTTGAACTTTTCTTTATTCCTTGAAAGAGAATGTCAAACTTCTAGAATTGTTTTGGTCTCTCCTACCTCTAATAAATGCAGTATTGCCATAATGTTAGAGTTTTGCATGAATAGTTTTAAAGTATACTTTTACATCTGCATCTTTTATTCATTAACCAAAATCCACTTTCAGTTCATTTAAGATAATTATAATCGATAGCTAGGACCTTTTGTGGAACCAGATAGTCAAAACAGTAGCTTCCCCCGCCCCAAATTCAGCCATGTCTCACTATCCAAAGCACTGAGAGCACGTACATGTACCCATATGGATGAAGGAACTTTGCTAGTTACTATTTTTAAAGAAATGTACCTCTGTGAGTGATGCAACTTCAGAGAAGCAGATAGGCAAGGCTGTAAGCAAGGATCAGATGCATTTTGAACAAATCCTGAGAATGCAGCTTGAAGAAAAGGTAAGATTAAAAGCTTTTGAGAAAAATTCTGATTGAAAGTAGCACTAACAACTGTGTCCAAAAGCAATGTTTAATACATTTTAAATTTCTTTGTTTCTTGCTAATTTCCTACTTTGTTATGAAAAACAGAATTCTGAACATTTTCACAAAAAACCATGATTATCAAAGAAAAATATGACTCTATTACCAGTTTCTCTTTGAGATAGAAATCATAGTTACATCTTCTTGTTTAGGTAGAAGGCAGACACAAATATATGTGTACATATGTGCATATCTCTAGCCTTCTAATGCTGATTTTTAAAATGTAAATATAAACATAAATAAATAAACATCAGAAAACTTAGTCTGAATGGAGTGATCTGTATTACCTAAGTCTCTGTGCTTTTTATTTACCGATTACACATTACTTATTCACTCTCTGTTTCTTACTCCATTACAAAATCAGTGTGTCAAAACATTGGTTATTGGTTTGTGCTGTTGCAAAAGAATATGCCAGCTAAAAAACACAGACAGGAGATGTGAATTATGACAACTTATTTTCTTATACAATCTTTTTCCATAATAAACATAAGTAAGCACAGCATTTGGTCTTCATTTGGAATTTTATTTATTACTTATTATTAAGGAGTTGTGGCCTTTGAGTTGGTTTTCATATTAGTTTCTGTATAAGTTTGTGCAGATATTATTTTTATTGTTTTAAAGGAGATGGAAATTGGATTGCTGTTTCAATAAATAGCTGAATACACATTTAGCTTCTGAAGCATTAATTGTCTATTTGTTTAAATATGTATTAGGCCTTTTATGAAATGTATATTACTTACTGGACTGCTAGTTCAAAACATAGCTCTTGAATAACATGCAATTCTGCAATTCTAAAAAGTTTTTGTAATATCAGTAGTCTTTTTCATTTAACACTGCTATTTGGAAGTTTCTGTACTAAACAAAGTCCAGTGTACATTAATATAATGAAATACCTATTAATAGCAAAATGAGGCAGTATTTTATTGATGAAGAAAGACAAAAGTTTGCCATCTAGGTTTCTCTGTTGGCATCTGAATATTGCAAAACTCAGATTTATATCCTTCCTGTTTTTCCCATGGGGTTGCTTTACTGCATTAAAACCTCATAGTAAAAATCCACCTGCTGAGTAGGCTCTTTTCATCTTTCTTAGTTCTGGAGATCTCAGGCTGTTCAGCTGGGATGTTTCCCTTAGGAGGACAGGAACAGTAAAATGGTTCTCCCCTCCTGTTTGTTATCTTCCAGCAGACAGTTCTAGTAAAGTTGCAGAGATATATATTTAATGTTTTGTAATAGAGGACTTGAGATTTATTGTGGTATGCTTGAACAGTTACTCTGACTTGTAGTCACTCTCCACTCTCCAGCCTTTTGTATGCTGAGGGCGTGTTGTTTTCTTCTTACTTTCTTTGCAGATCTTTGTTTGGGATGCTAAAAGTTAACCTAGGGCTTTGAAAAGTGACAACTTGGCCCTGTGCAAATAAGGGTTTTCCTTGCTTTTCTCTAAAAATATAAACATTTTACTGTTAAGCTGAAGGTTTGCACCTCTACTTTCAGCCTAGAGATTCTTAAAGATGTGTTGCTGAAGCCCAGTCAGAAAAGTAAAGCCCAGCGTATAAAAGAAGAACGTGCAATGAGACCTTCAAGTTGGAATGTTGCTTCAGCACAGTCACTAAAGTTTGTGTGGATGGTGCCAGCACCCTTCTCTTCACTCTTCTGCTCACTGATGAAAGACAGTGCCATCCTCCCATGGGTACTGTATGTAGTATGCAAGAACGTGGCCGGAGCTTCCTTTAGCTGGCTTTGCATTTTTGTAAAAATAAATGTGATCTGTGATTCTGCACAGACCTAGAACTGCGGGGCCTTAGGTCCAGTGAAAATTGGATGAATGAAATTTAAATAGATGCAATTTCTGCAAAGATATATTAATATATGATATTGTTGGTATAAAAATATTTTTATTGACTTTCCACTGGGAATTTTTCCTTTTTTTCCTGAATGAGATACTTCTCTACAATTTTATTTTGCATGACAGCATTTCTGCAGAAAACTGAAACTTATGGGATTGCAGTCTTCATAGATCTTTGCATTCAGGCTTCAACAATGATATTCAGCATTTTCAGAGATAAGTAGCACTGACTGGTGTTCACATGGATACCATTGCTTCTGATGGGAGAATATCATTGACAATTGTGTGTGGTTGATTTGCAAAAGCTGTCATTAGTAACAGCATCTTATTTTTCTGTCCCAAATCTGCTAACAAACATCCTGCTTGTGGAATTTAAGATATGAATAGTGCTGGCTTGTGAGGGAAGGATCTGGATCTTGCTGTACACACGTATACACTTCCCTACTTGTCTCTGCCAATACACCACAATCTTGATTAGTGATACAGCCTAATATTCCAATCCTTCACATCTCCTGGGTCCAGATTTCCACCCATGCAGAACTGTGCCATATTTGGAGGTTCAGTGGGGTGTGATAAACAACTCATTTGAGACTAAAAGCAGTTTTTGAATTTGGATCTCCTGAGGTAAAAGGCTAGTTCACTTATAATTTATGTTATCTAGCTCATTCATGACAAAGATTTTCTGCACCAGAAACACCTTGACAGGTGTTAGTACAAGACACTATAGTTACAATTAATGCAACAGCTTTATTAAATTTGACATTGACAAGTGTATTAATAATCCTTGGACTGGCATAAGAAAATCACTCAGCTATAATTTGAAAGTTTGCTTATACATGTGCATATTTGTGCTTGGTGTACCACACCTAAAGCCCTTTTTCCTTGTCTAATGCCTTCTGTCACATCAGTATTATAAAGCAGATGTTTATTATAAATTATACCTCTTTAACATACGAGTATGTAAGGATGCAAAGTGGGTTTATGACTTTTCAAGATTGTGCCTAACAAAATAAACTACATATTAACATCAATCCTACAGATTCATTTACAAATAAGATTACCTGAAGTGCAGTATTGCATAACTGAATACTAAAATTCTTAGAGAAAGAAAGTGTTTACCAACAATTGAAGTATCGAAAATATGAAGTCTAAAAGAGACAAAAGACTGCAAAGAAAAAAAAAGTAGTCTCTTTCACTTAGGGAGTGAAAGATTTCTGCATGGTTTATTTTCTTAATATTTTTTCCACTCTCTGTTGTTTGAATTTCTTCCTATTCTGAAAAAAAAGACGAAAAATAATATTTTTTCAAAAATTGTTGAGTTTGTATGACATGATAATTTGAAAATTAAAAAAACTCTAAATAATTGTAATTAATCGATAAATCTCTTAATTGCACTTTAACCCTTGCTTAGTTGATGGCTTTGAGTCCAGCTATACCAGTAGTGCATAAAATTTTAACCCCTTTTCTTTTATCTAGAATTAGTGTTTGTGGGTACATTAACATGCATGAAAATAAATAGAATTGTTTAGAATTGTTTTGAATGAGTCAGAAGGAAATGGAGACAAACTAGGAAAAAGAATGCTCAGAGTAATTTTGAAAATAAAGAAACCTCTGAAGATGCATTTAAAAATGGTTTGTTTTTCCTTTAGCATAAAGCAAAATTCCTCAAGTTCATACATTTTGAAATTTATTTTTTATGAGGACACTAACAGATGTACCACACAGAACAAGCTTGTAGTGCTGGTGAGTTAGGTGATCTTTTAGTCTAAAATTAAGGGGAAAAGATAACATGCTTCTGACCCACTTTGTGCAGATGAATTGAGACATTTAAGATATTTTTGAGATTCTGTTTGACTTTTTATATTTTTTATATTTTAAACTTTAATATTTTTACTTAGCTTTTGAATTTTAGGTTACATCACATACTAGGAACTCCAGCATTATTTGTTCTCTTAGTCCTTTTTCCTCTTTTTCTCTCTTGGTCTTGTTTTATTTTTTGTCTGGGATTTATATGACAAATTGCAGATATCTCCAGTGAGGGTGTGCAATGTAGATGTTCATGTCTGAACTCCTATGGCTCACCCTAAAGAAAGACAGTACTGAAGTACAGCTTATCTCATTCTAATGCAAACATTTAAAATGGGTCAGAAGAAACACTTTAAAAATGGCTGTTCCTCCCTCCTGACTGCAAAAGGTGACAAGGGGGAACAACAGAAAGGGACGTGTGTAATAGCAGGAGTCTAGAAGTAATATAGGCATCTAAAAGGAAGAGTTATGAAACACATTTTCTTATCTACTCTCTTATATAGTATTAATTTTCATGAGTGATGCTGATGTAAGCTCAATCTCTGCCAGAGGGAAGGCTGCTCCTTGCAAGTCTCACTCTGCTGTCCAGTGGTTGGATTTTTAGAGGAGTCACTGCATCTCCCTTTTATTGGGGTGCAGGAAGAAATATCAGTATTGCCCAGTGATGAAGGAAAAGAGCAAATACAGCTCATTACATATTTTTCATCCAGTTTATGATAGAACAAATGTATTTCAACTAAACAAATTTTGATGAAAATTGTTTATTTTTTGGCTTTGGCTCTCCACTTAGAAAGAAATAATTTTTACATTCTAACCACTTTTGTACTAAAACTCAAGTAAGTTTGGAGCAATAAGGGAGAGTAAAACTGAGCTAGGATTTCTTTTAATTTTTAAATCAATTTTCCTTACACTACTTTTATATTTTTCTTATCAAAATGGTTACAAGCCAACACTTAAAAAATTTTTCTTACCATTTAAAGACAATACTGTGGTTAGGTTGGAGGTCTAAGCAATGTTATTTCTGACAGTACCTTTCCATGTCTTCATAAGCTAGATTTCTTTTCCATCCTAGCAAAAGTGATCTTCTGATTTATTATTTAAGACTATTTCTAACCAGTCCTCTCTTGGAGCTTAGCTTGTGGCTGTACTTTTTTCGATCAGAATTCCCAGTGTACAACACTTGTTCATGAAATGTTCAAAGTTGGTTATGCCTTCTGTTTTCATTTAGGAATGCAAACAGCACTGTTTTATTTGGGATGAAGGTGGGACCCTGTGAAAATACCCCAGTGGAACCAGATAATCAAAACAATAGCAGTCACCAGCAGGACATTTGAAACACATACCAGTGTGGAGATATTTTCTCACGTTTTGTGTTTCTAAGGGAATGGGATCTTATGACAGAGAAGAAAAGTTTAGAGAAAGGAGGAAAGAAACAGGCTAGTAAGGAAGGAAAAGGACAAGTTTTCAGTCGCCAGATAACAAACTAAAGTCTGAATGGGTTATTTTTAAGCTGAATGTTACCGAGTGTTGGGAGGAGAGGAGGGAATAGTTTTAATCAAAGTGACCTTGCAGCTGTGAATGTTAAAAACGTCACTGTGGGAAAACCTATTTTTTATGCTTAATGTTGTCTAACCTCTCCCTGTTTTGAGAAGTAGAAAGTAGAATTCCTGCAGAGAGAACATACTCTCACAGCTATGACTGCAGCTTTTGTTATAGTGAGGTGCAGAGTGCTCCTCATCCACCTCTGCTGTGCTCCAGGACAAGCTGACTCTAGCTGAGCCAGTGTGTCCCTGTGTGTCTCTGCTGCCTGGAGCTGTCAGAGAGGTAATGAAATAAATCTGCTCTTTGTGTTTCAGCTGGGGTTTGATGGTTGCCTTTGGTTACCCGTGTTTGTCGATACACACACCTTCCAAGAGCTGGAGGCTCTTAGCAAGGGATATGCCTTGTCTGATTCCAGTTGAGCTCAAGAAAACCAGTATGCCAAATTTGTTGCAGATAAAGAAGGTTGAATCAAATATGTCTGAAACATCAATATGTTCCTCTAGTTGATTTTCTCTTCCCCAAAGCAGTGTAAAATTAGATTAATTGATCAAGTCAAATAATCTAATGGTATGCAGAGGAGTAGAATAGTTGGCCTTGGCTTAAAAGCACAGATGAAAACAATAGTTTCCAGCAAATACTGACTTTTTGCCTCTTTCTTTGGTCTCTTTTGCGCTTGAGAGGCCTGTGGGTTCTATTGTCATTCCACTGTCTAACCACTCACTAGTTGCACTGGTGGCAATATATTTTTGTAGGTCAGTGATCCTCTACATGTGTTTTACTGCACTAAACCTGAGGGATTACATTTGTTCTTTTGTTCTTTTTTTTTTTTTTCCCCCTAGCTGCTATTATCTTTCTTAGATTATCCCTGTGCTTCTTATCAGCACAAAACTTGGGCACTTGGGCATTCTTCCTCATGGTATACCCTGATGACGGCAATAGATGCAAAGATTTCAAATGTCAAACTCTTCATTATTAAAACACTTGAAAAGCCTCATTAGTAATAAACAAAACAGAAACACCTACATCCATTTTACTTATCTGTGTCATCAGTGACAGTTCAGAAAGACAAACATGTTTCCTCTCTACTACTGGCATCATTCAAATCATAAAGCTTGAAGGAAAACAAATGCAAATAAATACATGAAACCTACTGAAAAATATTTAATTATGGCTTTAGCCTAACATGCCAGCTGAATTTGAGCCAGCAGCATGCCCTGGAGGCCAAGAATGCCAGCGGCATCCTAGATGGTATCAGAAATAGTGCAGCCAGCCGGACCAGGACAGTGATTGTCCCCCTGTACTTGGCAGTGGCGAGTCCACACCTTGAGTCCCATGTTCAGTTTTTGGCTCCCCACTGCAAAAAAGGCATCCAGGAGCTGGAGTGAGTCCAGAGAAGGGCAATGCAGCTGGGAAAGGGTCTGGAACATGAGTCCTGTAAGGAGCAGCTGAGGGAGCTGAGGGTGTTTAGCCTGGAGAAAAGGGGAGGCCTTTTTGCTCTCTACAAATATCTGAAAAGAGGTTGTAGCCAGGTGGGAGTAGATCTCTTCTCCTGGGTAAAAAGTGAGAGGACCAGAGGAAATGGACACAAGTTGCTCCAGAGGAGGTTTAGACTGGATATTAAGAAAACATTTTTTCAGTGAAAGGGATGTCAAGTACTGGAACAGACTTCCCAGGAAGATGGTTACATCAAGAATCCCTGAAGATGTTTGAAGGATATGTAGATGTGCCACTTAGGGACATGATTTAGTGGTGGACTTGACAATATTAGGTTAATGGTTGAAACTGAAGATCTTAAAGGTCTTCTCCAGTCTAAAAATTTCTATGATTCTGTGATTCTATGTCTTGCAATATTATTCAGTATTAAGTAATGCCAGGAAATATTTGGCAACACCCTATTTTATTTTCAATGACTTCCAGTGCTCCTTGAAATCTGAAGCAAAATATCTGTATTATTTCCATAGGAGCTAAGATAAATAATCTTTCAAGAGCATTTCAAAAGAAGGAAGATTTAATTAATCCTTTTTGATCTAAAACCAGAAAACAATTTGTCTAAAACTGAGTCACTGAGGAGTACACATATGAAACCCTCGCAGATCATCTTCTGTGTAGTGCATGTGCAAAAACTACTTCTAGGTTATTAAAACCTTTAATTACTCTGGTTGTGTTTTTGTTTTGGTGTTTTTTTTTTTTTTCAGCAAAGTGCTACCTACAAGCTATTGGGTAAACAGTTGTCTGCAACATGTGAAAAATACAGCTGGTAAACAATAAATACAATGGCACAGATATCTGTATTATGAGATGAAAGAAAGTACTGTGAGCGCAGAACTGCTACCACACTCCCCACAGTCTCATTCTCACTTGTTTCTCTAGAATACATGTGTGGTTGGCTGGCAAGTCACTTGATTGCAATGTGGGAAGTGTCTAAGTTCAAAGTTAGTATTGCATCTCTATTTTCCCTTTGGAGATTTTTTTCTTCCTTACCAGTCTTTTTCTTGTTTCTACTTTTTATTTTTTGACATGAAACGTTATAGCTCTTTATTTCAAATAAACTTTTTCATTTCACATTTTGCTGTACATTTTTCCCCCAGAGGATTAGAAGATGGCTGAAATAACTTGAAAATAAAGCCAAATATTAAGCTGAATTTTTGTTGTTGGTTTCTCAACTGAATTAAAAAAAACCAAAACAACAAAACATCCATGGTTCACACAATTCTACTTGAAAGGCTTTTGTAGTGATTGTAAAGACGCATATGAATAAGCATATAGCACATAACTCATGCAGCAAACATTTAACTTCCCAGATGAAATGCCAATAGCATTCGGGTTAATGCAGCTCATTGTGCCTGTGTGCTGTCAAGGTCTTCAGAGATCTTGTGTCATGCTTTTCATTTGCTCCACCTGGGCTCATGACTTACTTTCCAGTTATTCTGTCATTTGCATCACTCTTTTTTTTATTCTGCATAGCTGCTAGTAAGTGAAACCACTTGTGCCTCTGAGGAGACACATTTATTCTTTTATTGAAATGCGTCCCATTTTATGTTTTAGCACTAGAAATATGACATGGTTTCTGTTTATTTTTATGTTAATGTTTTAGGTGCAAGTGTTTTATTATTTATTTTGTTGCCTCTTGAGCTCTACATGCTAATAGCAAATCAGTTCTTTCTCATAGCTTTCTTTTATTCAGATGTTTATTCAGGGTTTCTATTGCAATGGAATAGTTAGAGGATGCTTAATTTTTTTTACACTGCGTAGTTTAAGTGCAAATTCTTCAAAGTGAATGTTTCTACTACAGTAGTAAAGTCTGATTGTGAGATGTGTTTGGAAAATTAATTCTTGCACCTGCATTTGCTATAGGTAACCCCAGTCTGATGTATCAGCTTAGCTAATGGAGAGCACGCTGAGGAATGAAAATAGGCTGAAGAAGGTATGGGACAAAATAGATTAGAAAATGCAGCATTTTGTTGAGTCTGACTGTACTCAAAGGAAATGTGTGTTCTGTCCATCTGTAAAGCTAATCAAGTAAGATGACACAGCATTAGTTTTATACAGGAATATTATAATTACAATAGCATCAACAGCAACAACATCATCATCAGCAATAATAATAATAATAATAATAATAATAATAATAATAATAATAATAATGGATGTAATTAAATTCTTTGCAAAGCCTATGCTGGACAAAAAAAAATCACAGATTTAAACTGACTACATTTATTTGCAATATTTTCTTTCACATTCTCCTCTATGTTTAATATCACATAACCTCAATTCTTTTAGTGGGATGTTGCTACTGCTGCTTTATTTTGGGCTTTTCAAAGGATTTGTTATTGAAAATTAATTTCAGAAAGGAAATGCAGCTCCTTTCTAGCTATAAAAACTACCTTTATGAAATTAAGCAACAAATAAGAATAAACTTTTGACTAAACATATAATAAAAAGTCTGTTCCTCTTATATTAACATCTTATATTTTACTTTTAATGTTGTCTGCCTTTCTAACTTGGTTTTAATCTGCTTTTCAGGGTTGTTCTCAGTAACATCACTGTGTTAGAACTTGTGAAGACAGCTATGACAAAACCCTGATAACTGGTCTCTTTTCATACTTGACAACTGGTACTGATTCCTGATGCATCTTCTACTAGGACAGTAGAGTCCATTGACTTCAGCTCAGCTCAGTTAGGCTGAGCTGCTAGTGGCCAGTCATATCAGCCACTGATTCATTGTTACTCTGTACAATAAATTTCTTTTCAGATGCAGCTTAGGTTAGATCATCCAAATGTATCCTAGACTGGATGTGTTGGCTAAAGTCCTTTGGAGCACTCACAGAAACCCTCTGGATGGGAATGCACTTACAGGTATATCAGGGGGTTGGTGCCTTTGCACTGTGGAAGGTTTCAATGTTTAATTTGTATCGTTGCTTAGTTGACTCATAGTGAGTCTGAGAATCCTTAACTATTTATCCTTACAGCATCTCTGAGAGCTAGGGAATTGCTTTTCTCACTGTTTTACAGCTAGAGAGCCAAAATCTGCTGCTAACCAGCTTTCCCAAGGTCACATCAGAAATCTGCAGTGCAGAAGGAAGCTGGCTACAGCCCTAACCTCTACCAGTGTGATCCTCCCTCTACCAGATACAAAGCAAGAACAAACTAAAACCTAAGCCTCAGAGGGAGATTTTCAGGATGTTTGGCAGAATGTTATATTTCTAACTATTTATATTAGTTAAAGTTTTTCCTTTACACTTAACCTAGATGTTCTCTGCTGCAGCATAAGCCCTTTAGTTCTGTCCTCATTGACTAAGGAGAATTATTTGTCCCTATCCTCTTTATAGTAATTCAGTGTATTTGTAGTATTTGTAGACATGTCATGCCTCCCTTCAGTGTTCTTTTGTTTAGTCTGAACATGCCCAGTTCACTTAACCTTTTCCCACAGATCTTATTTTATCTTTTTTGTTGCTCTCCTCTGAACTCTTTCCAATTTGTCTGCCTTTTTGAAAATGTTGTGCCCAAAACTAAACGCAGTAACCCAACAGAGGCTTAATCAGTGTCAAAAAAACTGCAATCCCCAGCAATCCCTAGGAACAATAAATCAGGTAAGGAAGGCAAGAGACTGGCATGCCTGGTTAGGGAACTGCAGGTCAAACTAAAGGAAAAGAACAAATGCACAGGCAGTGGAAACAAGGACAGGTAACCTGGAAAGAAGAAGACTAGAGAGATGCAATTTGGTTGGGTAGGGATGGGGTGAGGAAGTCCAAGGTGAAGCTGGAACTGAACCTGGCAAAGGAAAGAAGAAAAACTATAAGGGTTTCAACAGTATGTGAGCCCAAAAGGGAAGGTCAAAGAAGGTCTACTGCCCCTGATAAACAGTGTTAGTGAACAGGTAATAACAGATGAGGAGAAGGCTGCAGAACTCAACTGGGGGAGCACAGGCCCTCCCACTGTAAGTAAAGATCATGTTCATGGCCATGTAGAGAACCTGAATAAGTTTATGGAACCCAATGAAATGCATTCCAGGGCTCTGAAGGAAATGGCTGATGTAGTTGCCAACCTTCATCCCATGATATTTAAAAAGTCATGGTAGTCAGGGGAAGTCCCAGGTGACTGGAAAAATTGAAACATTATACCTATCTTTAAAAAGGATTGAAATGAGGACTCTAGGAACTACTGACCTGTCAGCTTCCCAGCTGTCCCTGGGAAGACCATGGGACAGATCCTCCTAGAGGCTTTGCTGAGGCACATGGAGGACAGGGAGGTGATTCAGGATAGTCAGCCGGCAGGTCAAGTCCTGCCTGACCAACTCAGTGACCTTCTGAGATTGGGAGACTGCATCAGTGGACAAGGGAAGGTGGCTACAGGTGTAATTTATCTGGTCTTCTGTAAGCCTTTGGCAGAATCCCTGACAATATCCTTCTCTCTAAATTGGAGAGAGATTGGTTCAATGGGTGGACTATTAGATGGAAAGTTGTTACCCAGAATGGTTAACCAGAGCCACATCGTCTACTACGGTTACATACAGGGGATAGCAGTCAACAACTCAGAGTCCCAATGGCACCAGTGACAAGTGGTGTCTCTCAGGGACCAGTGCTATTAAATAACTTCAGTAATGACATAGATGAAGGGATCAAGTACACCCTCAACAAATTTTCAGATGACACCTAGCTGAGCACTGAAATTGACACACCTGAAGGACAGAATTCCATCCAGAGGGACCTGGACAAGCTCAAGAACAGTGCCAAAAGGAATCTCCAGTGTTAGCACAGGCTGGGGGATGCACAGATTGAGAGCAGCCCCACTAAGAAGGACTTGGAGGTCCTGGTGGATGAGAGGCTGGACGTGATGCAGCCATGAGCACTCACAGCTCGAAACAGAAAGCCAAATGTGTCCTGGGCTGCATCCAAAGCAGTGTGAGCAGCAGGGTGAGGGAAAGGCTTGTGACCCTCTGCTCTGCTCTGGTGAGACCCCACCTGGAACACTGCATTCAGCTCTGGGGTCCTCAGCACAGGACCTGCTAGACTGAGTCCAATAGAGGGCCACCAAGTTGATTTGAAGGCTGGAGTACCTCTCCTATGAGGAAAGGCTGGGAGAATTTTGTTTGCTCAGCCTGGAAAAGAGAAGACTTCTGTATGATCTGTTTGTGGCTTTCAGTACCTGAAGGGAGCCTACAAGAAAGATGGAGAGAGAATATTTACAATAGTATGTAGTGATAGGACAAGGGAGAAAAGTTTTTACTGAGAAAGAGGTGGTGAGGCACTAGAACAGTGCAGAGAACTTGTGGGTGCACCATGCCTAGCAGTGTTCAAAGCCAGTCTGGATGGTACAATGAGCAACTTGGTCAAGTGAAAAGTGTCCCAGCCCATGACAGAGGGGATTGGAATTGGATGATCTTTGAGGTTCCTTCCAACCAAAGCCATTCTATCTTTATATAACTATATAAAACCCCAAAATAATTACCTTGCTTGTTTTACATGTGATATGTCTATTATCACAATTCAATATAAAACTTGTCTTTGTTTAAAATGTGCTATTTTGATTGTGTTTAGTCTTTAATTTACAACAAAGTCAATACTTTTCATGTAGCATTATTCTTGCTAACATGCTATTCTTTTCCATACACACTGACTTGGTAAATATACTTCACTTATCCTTATTACTGTTACTTACTCTGATTCAGATTAGTCCTTGACTAATCTGAATCAGAGTAAGTCTTGTAAATTAAGGTGGGCAGTGTCCATTGAGATTTGAGTGGACTACAAGGCACCTGAGAGTGGATGGAAAAGAGAAATTTGGTGGAATTTGTTGAATTACTGCTGTTATACTAGCATATTACTGAGTTGTGGTCTCTGCTTTTAAATCCATACTCATGTTCTTCTTTCAAATGCCCCTGCTAAAGAGCTAACAATTCCTTGATTTTCCTAAACAAGACCCATGACTGTAAGAAGCTTTGACAAAAATGTCTTTGTCTTTTTTTTCTTCTTGACCAGTAGCAGCCTTTCTGCCAAGAAATGCAGGGATAAGAAAGAAACATCAAAACAATGTTCTTTTAGATTGGGGAATTTTGGTGTGAATCTCTCAAGGGTCACTGATACCAGCCTACAGTGGACTTGTCTTTATTGAACCACATTTAATTTATTTTCAACAAAGGTAATCTCTTAAACACATCGGGGTCATTTATGGTAAATATGCCATTCCATGTCTATTTTACATATATATAATAGTTATAAAATCTTTGCCCAGTTTTAATTACTTTGGTAGCTTAATTTGTGTCATATGCTTGTCTTTTAACCTGTGGTTAGTCATTACACAGCTGCCAGTTCTCTGTCTTCTAAACATTTGTGTTTTTCTATGATGTGCCACTCCAGAATAGTTCAGTCTTGAAAGCTGCTGCATGAATTACTAGTTCCCCCTGGTGACAGCTGGTATACAGTGATTTACATTTCTCAGAATTAACCCAGACTTTAATTTATTTTCTCAAAATATTGAAGATTAATATTTCAGTTATTAACCTAAATATGAAAGGACAGTCTGCATAATGCTGAATGTAAATATCTTGAACCCATATCAGCTATTATGGAAAAAAGTCCTAGTTAGATATCAGAAAACTAAGCTTCATGAGAGCTGCTGAGACGATGTAAACCAAACATCTTTGAGTGACATATTTGCCTCCATTGTTCACAAAAGGCCACAGCCTCAGCCAGTTTCTAATCACACTGTACTTCAACATGAGGCACTGTAACTCACAGTAGAGGGAGAAGGCAGTTTGTTAAGAACTATAAATCAAAACACTCTGTATCACACTACAGTTGATTTGGCATTCTTTTATTCAAGGCTGCTAACTGACACGAGTCTAGCTGGGCCCTCATGAAAAGAGAATGTGTAACTGTGTTAATTATATTCCAGTTATTGCCTACTGACCTTTAACATCGTGTGAAAAACAGAGAAGTAATGTTTCCTTCATCTTCAGTTAAAGTTTGCTTTGCCATCACAATGTCTCCAGTAATTACCTTGTGTTTTAGTGTTTTGGAAACTCAGCAGACAGTGTGGCGTATTTGTAGAGTTGGATCCAGTGCTAAGGAAGAGCAGCTAGAACATTTGCAGAGATCTAGGTGATAAGGAGCACATAAGGCTGATTTAGATAGCATTTTGAGTAATTTATGATGTAAGAAAAGAAGGCCCATAACAGGGTGTTGGCATGGGCCCCCTTCATTGGCATGGCCGAAGTTTTGCTCCTAGTCCAGTTTATTCCTTTTTGTCTTTATCACCGGATTCAGTAGAAAGCACAGACACCTTTAGCTGCCTGGACTGACCAAGGCTATTGAAAGTAGTATATCACTGCATATAGTCTTGCCCAACAACAGTGTATAGTGTTGGAGTTTCTCAATGCTGCAGCACAGTCCAGGACTTATCTGGAGAAAATTCCATGTGAGATGCTGTGTCTGTTTCTTCTGTGCATAATTTACTGGGGAACTGAAACTATGGACCTGTTTAACTCTCCTAACATCAGAGTTTCTAGTCCAGCAACTAAATCAGTTGCAGTGTTTGCAGTGCTCTGCATTGCAGGCAGGCCTTATGATTTACAAAATTTACAATGTTTTATTCAAAGACATAGCTTTTATAACGGTTGTCAAGAATGTTGTCAAAGATTACAATTACAATTACTCCTTGGTATAATAAAAACTTTTTTTTTTTTCCTTTCTTATTTCTTTGGAAGATGTATAAACCTTTCAAAATGTTGCTAATTCATTAACAGTGAAAATTCTAGAGCTGCTCTGGCTGGCCAAGGTAATACATTAGTGACTTTTCCAGCACTGCTCTGTGGCAGTGATATTTCTTGGGTAGCAGTGTGGTGAGCTGCTGGCAGCAGGAGAGCAGCAACAGGAAGGGAGGACTTACACTGTCTCACTTGTAGCCCACTTTTTTTAAAAATCAGGATTGCCTGGAACAAAGTTCCCTGTTTCACCCAGCTGATAATTTTAAGTGCTAAGTTCCCACTATATTTTTAAGAAAATTATATTTTTATCCTAGTATTTTGGTGTCTATTCAAAGTATCAGAACAAATTCCAAGTTCTCTAATTAAAAAGACAGATATACATCAAACACCCAAGGTAATTTTTAAAGATGACAGATTTTGTTTATGTAGTCTAGTCAACCATTCTAGTCTTTAAATATTGCTGTTAGGTAGAAAGAAAGAATACAAATTTTAATTTCCGTTGGACTTTGAAAAGATAATAAAAGAAACTTCTTCAGTAACTGCAGCATTTTATGCCATAAAATTTCATTAAATATAATTAAACCTGTTATGTTTAAAAATTCTGTGCCCAACTTCAGAGACCTTTGCTCTCTCATTCTTCCTCCATTGATGTTTCTTCCTCTTATTTCTTGCTTAATATCTAGGGCACAATGTCCCAAAATTTACTACTCAGTGTTTGCATCAGGAACACAGTACTTGCTTACAGTATGATTTCTCAGTATAATACTTACTGACCTGCATATCAAATAGTTGCTACAAAACCAGTGGAGTAAAAATACTTTGATGAAATTATTCTATCCTTTTTTGTTGTAATACAATTAGATTATTTAAGGATCCTTCAGAGGAAATTGCTTTCCAGCCTGCTTAAATCCAAGAAATTATTCCTTCCTAATAAAGGTGTGAATATTCGCAAAATAATGAAGCTATTTTTCCTGAAATTTAGATTTAAAAAATAAGAAAAAGAAAATATTTTTCACTGGAAATGATTTGTGTTTTGAAAAACTCTACAGACCCTGTAGTCCTACTTTTTTTCTGAGCTCAATACTGGTTATTTATGTTTGTGTTACTCAGTGTAGTTGTCATCCAAGCTTGTGTTGCCTGTGTAATAAGTATTAGAGAAATGTGAAAAAAAGTCCAATCTCTCTGATTTCCTCCTAATGTAGAAAAGTCCAGTTTTCCACTTGAACTTGAAAAACTACAGAAAAATAGTGTTTGCTTCTCCAGCAACTCCAAGACATGAAACTTCCTGTGGCCTTAACCCAGAGGCGCTTGACTTTCATTGCAGGGTGCTACTCTTCCTGTTGAGGCTGCTTCTATTTTTTTGTCAGTCACTGTTTAAAACTTAATCACTCTTCCTCTTTAAGACAGTTACCCTAGTGCAAAAATAACCAGTCATTCCAAGTCTTAAAAAAAACCATTTTGTTTCTTGAACTATATTTAATGTCTTCCATTGTTCCATCCCTTCGCTTCCCCACATCCACCTCCTCCAGCTTTCCCCAATACATGAATCACTTTCATGTAAATTATCACTGCTGTTTGTCACTCAGCCTAACCCTGAGAGAATATTACTCCTATTAGAAATGTATGCATTTTACAAAGCTATTTGGGAAGAATGTGATAAATAAAAGAAAATAGATGTTTTTACCATAACCTCTCTGCAGAATTCTCCATTGCAGGATATATGGCAAAACACATTACAATCAATAGATTTTTTCAGTCTAGTTATTCATTGCAAGTGACAGGTATTATTATTATTATTATTATTATTATTATTATTATTGTTATTGTTATTGTTATTATCATTGTTGTTATTACTATTAATGTTATTAGGAAAAACAGTTTTAATGTTTTTCTATGCAATTTAAGTAACAAAGCAAAAGTGTCTTGTTTCTTGTCACAGAATAAATCTCCTTTTTGTTGTACTGTTTTACTGTTATACATTATAAATATACCATAAACAGCTTTTAAGGTCAAGCAGAAAGGAAGATTTTCTTTTCCAAACATCTGTCAGCAACCACATGGAAGAGAAGACAATACCAGCATAATTTAGTATGCTTTTGCTTGGTGAAAAATGTTCCTTGGACGCTATGTCAGGACACATACTTTAACTAAAACTTTTTCCAAGTGCTTTATCTTAACACTGTATGGCTTTGCTTCTCTTACACTAATATTTTTCATTTTCCTTATTGTATGAGGCTACAAATATGTCAGAAAAGGATCATAAATGTTATTTATTCTTCTGGCATCCAGGCCTCATTGAGATAAGAGTGAGCAGTTGCCACTCTGCAGATGGCAAGAAAACTGGTTCCAGGTTTTTGTGTACCTGGATGTCATTGATGGCTGTGCTGGAACACAACAAGCTAGTGAGGAAGCATTAGGTTTGGCAGGCAGACTGTGGTTGACACGTGTCCTTTTCTGTCAGGGGCTGCCACAGGGCAGTAATAACCACACGTATCCAAGGGACTAGAAAATTATTTTCAGTTCCCTCCTCCCATCCCCCACTTTGTATTTAGCATAAACATACAATGAAGCTGTTGGTTCTGTTGTGTCAGAAAAAGAAAAATTATTGAAGAATATTAAATCTGAACTGATTCAGTATAAATGCTCTTGGATCCTTCAGCAAAATATGCCTAAGCTGTGCTGGAATTATCTCCTTGGTTAGGAAATACATGCAAATATAATATATAAAATCATAAAATCCTATTCATTGAAAAACAATGTATCTGAAAGGAAGCAAATTTCTGCAAAGAAAGTAGGATTTAAGCTCAATAGGAAAACTCTGACACTAACTACAATCTGCATATCTGCAAATCCATAACCCTGTCACCTGGCCAACACAATGAGGAACCCAGGAACCCAGTGAAAACTGAAAGCATTGTGAAACTGAAATCCTGTCAGATAACATCAAGGTCTGTAAAGGCACAACACACGTAAAGTGGGACCTCTTCTCAGTTCAGTGGTGAAAGACAACATAGGTAGATTTCAGTGCACAAAGTCCACTTACTGGGTAAGTTATGCCTTTTCCAACTTCATTGGAAGATATGAGATATATGGCTTCTTCCAATTAGCCTTTTAAAAGAATTCTTTCTCTTCTGATAAGAATTTTATAGTTAGATTACCATATCTGCATAAGCCTGCTTAATTGCATTTGTAAAAGCAAACAACTCCAAAGGGGAATTTGGAGCCTTTTAGGGTAGGTCAGAGGAGTTACTTCTGAAGGCCTTTTTTTATCTTTAACTGGGAAGAAACCTGGCTAAAGACTTAAATGTTTACATTCTGTATGTTAAAATGCATGAATCCCAACCCTGGTGTCTCTTGCACGCTGAAACCATCATAGCTGAAATACTGTTGCTTATAATTTTATTGTAAATAGGGCATATAAAAAGATTTTGTGGGATCTACAGAAGCCACTTCTGTTGTCTGCTTATACAGCAGGTTGCATATATAGCAGTGTGGTTATATTGCCAATTTTTTTTTTATTGGAAAATAATTATATTATTATATTGCTTCATATTTCTGCTTGTCTTCTGAAAGAAAATAGTGGATTGTGGTGCCAAAGGAACCTTCTACTGATGCAGAAAATTGTGAGATATCACCACCATGCAAATGGTAGGTCAGGACAAGCTCAAATTAATAAATAAGAAATCGCTTGTGAGGTAAAGAAGACTTGTATTTTTCTGTAGAGACATGCTGGTGTATTATCTCTCCATAAAAAATTGGACTTTCCTGGAACTGATTACAACAAATACATTTATTCTATAACAAAAAAGAAGTGATGAGAAAACTACATTTTCAGAGCTGAATGAGAACTCTATGCAGACAACTTGCAATAGAAGCACACAGTATGCACAGTAATTTAGAGAACTGGTTCTGATATTTAACTGACTTTACACCTTCTAGAGAGTGTCAGCTTTATCCCCTTTTTTCAGTCATGGGGCTGCTGGCTATAGCTTTATAGCAAGGTCTGATTATCTAGAGTTGCTATATATCTAATAAAGAAAAGAAGTTCAGGATTTTTTAGCAATGTGTCTTCAATCTGAAGTGATTTCAGAATCTTGTTTTGCTGTAAATAAAAGCTTGTGTGAAAGTAAGTAGTTTTAAATTATTTTGCTTTTAAAATTTATAGGATATGGGGGGAAATTTATGCCATGGGAGAGAATTTTCTGAATCGTCTGCAGCTCAATGCCTGTGGATTTCACTTGAACCATACAAGAGTCAGCTGCAGACTAAATCTGTTGCTAGACTTGGCTTCTCCTGCAAATATTGTTTGTGTGAATAAGGAAGTGTTCAGGGAACCAGTCTGGTCCAGATTTCACTTGTTCTTGATTTTTGGTGCTTGACCAAAATGTCTACACCACCAATTTCTTATTTAGTGGTTATTTAGTGGTCCTTTATTTTCACATTTTTTCTATTTTGATGTAAAGATCCACTACAGAATATTCAGTTCTCTAAAAGTTCATATTTCTTTCTGGAAATCATCTGCTCATTGTTGAGTAGCTAGATAGGTAGGATGGATTTGTGTTTACACAAAAATAAGCTGAATGTATTTATGAATGTACAACTCAATAGCAACTTGTCAACTAGACCATGGCACTAAGTGACACATCCAGTCTCTCCTTAAACATCTCCAGAGACTGTGACTCTACCATCTCCCAGGGCAACCCATTCTAATATGTAATCACTCTTTCTGTGAAGAAAATCTTCCTAATGTCCAGCCTAGACCAGCCCTGGTGCAGTTCGGGGCTGTGTCCTCTCCTGTCACTACTTGCTTGTGAGAAGAGACTGACCCCTGTGTGGCTACAATCTCCTTTCAGGCAGTTGTAGAGAGAGAGATAAGAGAAACAATGGAGAAAATGAGCCTCATTTTCTCCAGGCTAAACAACCCCAGCTCCCTCAGCTGCTCCTTACAGGACTCCCTCTCTAGACCCTTTACCAGCTTCATGTCCCTTCTCTTGACTTGCTCCAGCAACTCAATGTCCTTCCTGAATTGAGGGTCCAGAACTGACCACAAGACTTGAGCGGCAGCATCATCAGTGCTGAGAACAGGGGACAGTCACTGCCCTGCTTCTGTGGCCACACTATTGCTGACACAGGCCAGGATGCCATTGGCCTTCTTGGCCACCTGGGCACACTGCTGGTTCATGTCCAGCTGAGTGTTGACCAGCACCCTCAGGTCCTTTTCTGCTGGGCAGCATTCCAGCCACTTTTCTGTATGTTTTGTGACTTTGTTAAGTTCCAGTTCCTTCCTAAAGCACAGCAAAAAGTAAGTAGTTGAACATCAGCATTTTTCATAAAAACTTATTTTTTAGGCTTGTCAACAGTTTATATTGAGTTCTGTACTGTTATTTAGTTTCCTAGCCTTCTACATAAGATTGGAAGCAACGAAAAGCACAAGTTCTGATACTTTTTTTTTTATTATGGTATGTAAGAAGTGCTTTTTAAAGCAAACTCATCTTTTATTTATCTCACCAAAAAAATAGCCAGATTTCTGAAGAGTTCAGCAGTGAATATGCTGAGCTTTGGGAAAAAATATGTACATCTTGCAGCTCTGGACAAAAAGTTACAATAAGAGTCACCCACTCACTTCAAAATATGGCCAATAATATGTTGTAGTAGACATTTAATCAGTTTGGTTAGATCAGTGTCTGTTGTAATGTATTAGTTTTGCCACTGAATTCACCTGGTTGAGGATTGTACTTTGATTGGTACTGTTTTACTATACTTGAATTTAAAAAAATCCTTGTTTAATACTTGATGATGAAGAAATATTTAGTCAGTGAGATACTGAGGTTTTTCTTCCAGCACACTGATTACAGATCTTTAGTAGAGGTGGTGGGTAAATGCCCCACAGTCTTTCATGCAGCAGACACACATGCTCTTAACTTGTTTTGATGTCATCCTCTTTGGAGGAAGTTCCTGGAAAAACATTGATGCAAAAGATATGTTAAAAATCAATGACAAAATGTCACTGAGAATCGAACTCGTGTAAAGATTCTTAGAGTGGTGGAATATAAAGTGAAAGAGATGCTGTCACTCTGCTTTTATCTCTTTGATCCCATGTTCAAGACTAGTATAGGTCTGCAGCAGTGCTTAAATTATAGCACAAGAGCAGCTATTGACCATAGCACTATTGTGAACCTAATACCATTTACTGGATTTAGCTTTTACTGATTTTGAACAGTGACAAGATTTCTGTAAAGATAGATCTAGTAAAGGTTTCATTTGTATTTTTCAGAAAATTCCCCTAATTCTCAAAACAACACCAATAACGACAACTGCAACAATAACAGCAACAATAACAACAACAAAACCAATCAACCCACCAACTAACCACACAAATTAAAATAAAATCTCACCCATAAATGTTGAAGAGTATATACAGGAGTTTGTAATAGACATGACAGAAAAGGGGAAAATTTATTTACATTTTCAATTTATTTCCATAACATGAGTGGAAATAGCAAAGATGAGTGATAGTAATTCACCTTCTGATGCATGGAGATATTACTAGTATTATACTGCCTGCAAATGTGGATTTTAAAATAAAATATTCTGTTTTAAAAATGTATGGATTTTATTTTTCCCAAAACTCATTAAAAAGAAAAGAGACTAATTGTAGAATACATAGATTGGCCTTTCCAAAGAGCTACTTTGGTCTCTGTTCTGTGATGATAAATTATGTCTATGGTTTGGTTTCTAGGTCAGCTTCAAGTCAGTGGTAACACTTGAGTATTAACATGATTCTGTATCTTAAGTTCAGGAGAAACAAGCTGTCAACTTTTCATTTACAGGTTTCATTCCTTAAGTGAAATTAACTCGAAGTGAACATATCATGGTGAAATGGTCTTGCCAAGGCATAATGAAGCATCAGAATAACACATACTGGAGCCAGGTTTTGCCTTATGCAGTACTGGAATCTTAAGCCATGGGGGGAACCCAGAAAAATTTTGGACTTCTTTTCCTAACCTATTTGAAATGAAGTTTCCAGCTAAGGATTTGTGAGTTAAAATGAGTGAAGAGGCATGAATTATTTCCTGCCACATTTTTCTGTTACTTGTTTATAATCAAATCGTGATTTTATGAACTTCAAATTGCACTGAATAAGCAGTGTAAAAGAATAAGTCTCTTCCCATTCATAAGTACAGCTTTCCAAATTGGGGGTATATGTCTGCTGGTAGTGCATAGTGGGGGTAAGTTGGTGACTTGTTTTTTATGTATAAAATATCTTTTATGTATAAAATGTAAACATAAAAATTGAGTGACTAAGCATGTGTTAGCTATGAGACATGGATGATCCTTGAAAAATATATGTTTGGCTAATTTTCTGCTCTGTACTGAGTTTGCTTTTCCTACTTTCTGTGCTTTACATTGTTAGATTATAAAATTCAGTGATACTGATAAAGACTAGAACAGTGTGGTCTTGACTGAGGCAATGAAAACTTAAAGGCTTGTCTTATATCTCAAGTGTTTCCTCCTTTTGATTCAATTTAACATGGGAAAAGACACATGGCTTGAGCATACTTACCTTTAAAAATAGATATTTTTTCTATATAGCATCAAAAGAAATAGTAGCATGGACTGCATTCTACACAGAGATGTGTATGTATTCCAGTCTGCAGTTCATACAAGTGTACTGTAAAAAGCACAGCTGAAAATCACCAGTCACTTAAAATGTCATAGTCTAGAGTATGCCTGAGTTGTGCTGTCAGTATGGGAAATGAATTCAAATAATAGGTGCCATTACTGTAGCATGAAACTATTAGTTAAAGTTCACGGTGCTTGACTAGATCACTTAAACCTTTATTAGGAAAAAAAATGAAATTTTGAATGTTCTTCTTTTCTTCCTTAATTTGAGCAGGGGCTCAAAGTTTAACCAAAAGCATCTGGAAATAAGTTCCAGTGCTGTGCTCCTGGTTCAAGTTTGAAAGAACAGAAGGCAAAACTCCCTGAGCATGGTGCTAACTAGTATCGCGGGGGTGTCAAACTTGATTTGAGGTAGATTGACGTGTCATTATTCCTCACATTCCCGCTTCCTTTTTAATGATCTGCACCTGAGCTCTAGTGTGTATTTTGTGACACTTATTAGCAATCTACAGGTCTGAGAGAACTGTTGTTTATCCATCTCTCACCTGTTAAAATGTTAACAAGACGAGACGTGCCACAGTGTCTGGTGCCAGCTGAAGGTCATGGATGGAGTGAAGAAGCCTCTGACATCTGTCTCTCGCAGTGGGCTTTGCACTGTGCTTCACTGAGAACAGCAGGCTGAGCGATTTCTCACCATTAATATCAATGGTCCTGAATGCTGGCTACCGGCACGCATTCCTTGGCTCCAGGAGTGGAAGTGTGCAGCTATTAACACACCTCATTCACATCTGAATTAAGAATGTTGAAACAGTTCCACATGGCAGACAAACCAAAGAAGTCATTAGGCTTATTCTTGTCCACATGCGCTCCAGTGCCTGATGGCAACTGCCCCCCATTCTTTCAAATCAAGACTGAGACTCAAGGCTCCTGAGTATCAATCAACATGGACCAATCTTCTCTTGCTCTTATTTTTCTGCTTCAGTACAACTAGGTCTCATTGAGTAAATAATTTATTTTTATTTCCATGCTGCAAGATACTCATTATTTTCTAGTATTAATGGCATTTGCATTTTGGAAAATGGTCATACCATTTCAATTAGAAGGTTTTTAGGATGGAATAAATTATGCTCGTGTAAAACAGTTTTAAATCATAGAATCAGATTTTGTGTTTAAAGGAACCTTAAAGATAATCTAGTCCTGAATCTGCTGCCATAGGCAGACATGAATCTGTCCACTCCCCTTCTCTTCCTTTTCTTCTCTCTTATTTCACTTCTTGTTCTTCCTTTATTTTAATATTTTCTTTGTAGTGGCTTCCTTTTCTGTGTTTTTATTTTGCCTTTTTTTGTTGTTTGTTTGGTTGGTTTGGGTTTTTTGGTTGTTGTTTTTTCTTTATTTTTTTTCCTTTTTTCTGATAGTAACATTTTCTTTCTTCTGAAAATCATTCAGACATTTTAGTGCATGCTGGGCTGTCACAGACACTAACAGCTTGTTGAAAAACCCTTCCATTTCTTGTGGAGCACATGAAACGATGCTGTTCAGCAGAGACAGTGGAAACAAGGTGTGCAGTCCTTTCAGTTTTTATTTATGGCAATGGGGAGTGTATTGCTGGAGGTACTAAGAACAGATTTACTTTTTGAAAGAATCAAATTTGTCTCAATTGTCTCTGGATGGAAACCCATCTATCCCAATAGCCATGGAAACAGCTCTTCTGATCCCCTGCTACTTTGTGTTCTGAAATATTCGTCAGTTTCATGAATGGTTAAACAACTTCATTCTTAATCTCATTAGTAGAAGGCTCTCATGCAACACCCACTGAAAACAGCTGAATGGCATTCCCGAATTCGAGTAGATTTTAGTTCTGACACTAACAAATGTCCCACTGGCTTAGCCTTTCAAAAGGCAGACAAATGAAAAATAACTTTAAGCACTTCTATCAAAAATAAATATAACTTTTTTTCAGAGATCTGATTCTCAGAGGTTCCCATTGATGTAGGCTATAGCAGGCTTTGGAATATGACATATTTTTATAGGGTTGTTTATTTTAAAGCCAACTTCAAAACATTGGGGGTTTTTTGGGTGTTTTTTTGTTTGTTTGTTTTTGGTTTTGTTTGTTTTTGTTTTAGGGGCTCATGGCTATTTAGAACAAACTCCCAATATCTTGCAAGTTACAGCTGCAGTCCTAAGTACAGTAGTGGGCAATAAATAGGAAAGATAAAGTATTCTGTAGCTGGGTTAGAGCAGAACAACAGAAATAGACTGCTGCATTCTTTCAAAACAAACAAAAAACATAATTGGAAAAAATCATTTATATATTCTCTTACATTAGATGGGGCCACTGAGTGAAACATTCACTGATGAATTACTCCTCTAATCTGTGGAGGGAAACCAGCCACTGGTGAATTAGAGTCCTGGAACAGAGCCATGAGAACTAAATGGCTAAAAATGAAAACAGGCAAACATTTGAAGAGTATTCTAGAGAACACAGATCTTTCAACACCTCCCCCTTTCCATGGCTAATTCATTGTCATGGAAACTGAATTTATCAAAATGTTCGTGTTCACTCCTAGTGACCCAGTGAGTCGACTTACAGAGCTGGTGAATGGTAACTCAGGCTGAAGCAATTTTTACAAATGATATGCAGCAGTTCATAAGTCAGTAAATTTTGAATGGCATCATTGTACTTCCCAAGTAGTTTTCCCTAGTCTCAAAAGACTCTTTCTGTCTCAAGCTGGAGGTGTCTGAAACACCTACTAATAAATTAGCATGGGTGGTATGTATGATTCTAGCTCCTTTTTTCCCCTCCTCTGCTCTCCTTTAATGTTTTTCTTCTTACCCTGTGAATTTATGCTAAAATTTTGTTATGTTATTTCTTTACTTGATACATTTTCCACAGCATTTTCCTGTGTTGACATGTAGCCCAAGGATGCAAAAATCCTTCATCACCTCATGACAAACATCTCTTCTTATCTGTTACTGAAGATAGGTGTTGACTACCAAGTGTAATGCACAATGACTACTGTATGTAGCCAGCTCTGCCAAATCCAAAATAACCCTGGAACTCTGTGTTTTCACCATGTCTCAGAAGGTGGGGTTGCTTGTATTTCTTCATCACACATGAAAATTGTCATATAACTATTTGGAAGGTTTTTCACCTGCCATGTCACTTCCAAATTCTGTCAAGGTTGATTTTCCTTTTATTTTTCTGTTAGCAATTAGTGAATTGTTGTCATGGAAACCATACTTCACATGATTCTTGAACTTAAATGGCTGAATGCGATCAGCACCCTTCATTCTTTAGCCTTAGTAGTTAAAGACTTCTTTGTGTGTGTGTGATCTTGATTACAGAATCACATAAAATATCTATAAACACACAAAATAATAGCAGAAGGCTACATCAATTAAAATGGAGTATTCAATAATTCATTCTTTAATTAAAGCTCTTCCTTTTCCTATTGCTGTAACCTTTCAAGTGTTAAAGCAGATATAAAAGCTAATAATTTGTATGAAGTATCTTTCCTAATTAGCAGTTTGTGAAACAGTAATGAAGAAAAACAAAAAATGGATATTTAAATACTTTTGCTTTTACTCTTAATGCAATGAATGGAAATAAATATACTTTAGAGAAAATATTTTCTAGAGGATAAGTCTGTGTCTGTTTGTGGACAGCATGCATTAATGTACACAAAAAGGGATACACTTGTTTCAGCTTTTTTGTTTATTAATAGATGAAATTACTTTGGGAAAGGGGAAGGATATGTCCCAAAGCAATAAAAGATACATTCGAATTTGTTAATCCACTAATTTTTTTTTATCTCCAAATCAAAGTCTTAAAACTTTATCTCAGTGGCTGTATTTTTCAATAGAAACTGCACCAGAGGATTAATATATTGCATTTTTTTTTCATATGAGTGGGGTTTCCATAATTTAGAAATATTCCAGAAATATTGCTTCATCATAAAGATCTGTGTTCACTGAAGACTTTCTAGATATATTGTTCTAATAGTAGTGGCAGAGCAAGCTAAAGCAGGTCAATATAAAGACTTGTGTGAAGTCTCCTATTCCAGATCCTAATCCCATTCCAAGTTATCTAGATGTTGCTATTTTTGTGTGCACGTGTGTGTGTGTGTATGTATGCACATGTATAAACACATTTTATTCAGAAAAACAGTTCTACATATAAGAGTTATGCAGACATAACTACAATATTTTAAATTCACTATTTGCACTGGTTCAATTTCTTTGTCTAGATAAATGGTTCATGTGGTTGCATGTTCGTGTCCTTGTCTGACTTGAAAAATGCTGAATGGTCTGTAATCAATAAGAGTTCAAGTTATTTGAACTTTGTAGGAAATTATAATAATCAGACCTGGGCATGTGAAATTGTAAATGCCACTAATGAATGCTAACCAGTAGACAGTGATTTTTGAAGACTTTTCTGGTGCTTGATGCATGGGAAGAGTCAGTCTTGAAAGGACACTGTACTTATTAAGCTTTTCAAATGCCTCTTTGAAAAACTAGAACTAAACTAAACTATTGGTTAATGTAGCTGTCAGAGAAAAATATATTCCAAAAGCATGATAAGACAATTTATTCCCCGTGGAATAAATCTGCATTCAATGTTATTCAGTGTTATTTCACGCTATATCTCCTCCCATGTACCGAAGACTCATTACTTGCATTCAATAATTTTGCACAGTAAAGATATCTATTTGCTTTCAGTGATACAAAGCCAAATAGAAATTATTTTAGCATGAATTTGCTGTGTTCAGGGGTTACTTAAAAAGAAGAAATTGTGAAGTGTTTTAGTGCAAAAGTGTGCAAGCATTTATATAGCATGCTATAATAACATCAAGCATTTAACTGAAAACTTTTTTCTTTGTGAAAAAGGGAGAAAAAATAGGCTAAAGTTCTTATACTTGGGATAGCAAATATATCTGCCATAAAGCACCATAGTTATAAAATTTAACCTGTTTGCTGAATATTTTTGTTCAACTTTGAGAGAACAGGTAAATATTTCATATTTACCTCTGTCTACCTCATATTTACTCTCTGTCTCTGTGCTCACTCAAGTTCTTGGAAATCAAAGCAATTATTCTGAAAACCAGGTCAAAAGCAGTGTGAAGCCACAATTTATCTCATATTAAGACTGAATTCCATTGAATCCCATGTAATCACACCAAGCATGGAATTTCCTAGTAAATCGTAAATGTAGGCTTTAAGCTCTTTTTAAACTGTTCTCCTGTGATAATGCGTCAGATTGCTTTTAATTCTTATTTCTCTAGAATATGTCTTTCAATTACAACCTTGACCTATAATGTGTTAGAAATACAATCTATACTTTAAACTTTTAAAATAAAAAAACTAGTATCAATAATTGTATTAGCCATGTGGTACCTACAATACATACACGTTCTTTCCTGAACAACTCCAGTACATATTGGTTTTCTAAAGATTTGAGTTTAACAAACACTTATTGTTAGTTGCACAATGTATTTGTTTTCATAAATGTGTGAAATTCTATCTGGTTTTTTTTCCCCCCCATTAAAAATGTACAGAACAAAACCATCAAATTACTAGTTCAAGTTTGTACTGGAGTGAAACATTTGACCTTGCATTTGTACAGGGTCAAATAGTTCTACAGAACTGTTGTTATTATTAAAGCAATATTTTAAAGAGCATATTATAGAAATAAAAAATACTGAGCATGATTCTTCAATATGTACAATCAGGAAAAAAGTTACTCCTTAAAATCAGAAGTAAATGTAATTTAAAATTATGAAGTTAAAAGCAGCTGATTTTCTTTGTTGCCCAGGATTCCTGTGGGGTATTATTTCAGTCTTGTATTCTTTTTAACTTTTTTATACTTGGAAAGACAATGGAATATGACAGGTTCTTTGACAGTTTGCTAACACAAATTAACCTCATTTATGGGAAAACTGGTTGTGCGTGAACATCTACTTTTGCAGTGCTTTTCAAGACTATCTCTAAATTGCTGAATTTCTGGGAGGTCTGCTGCCTAAATTTTAAGCATTCTGCTGAGTAACAGCATTTATAATGTAACATGCATCTTATGATAGGCCTGCATATTGATGATTCTATAATATTTGCAGAGGAAAAGGAGGAAATAAAACATGCTTGATATGTTCTTTCAAACTAATGAAAATTCATTGCTGCTTGGCTTATGATTTCATCAGGTAAGAGAGTGGGGTATTTGACAATGGTTTATTCTTTAATTCATAAAGAACCAAATCTTAAGAGATTTGTGGTGGGAATTTGTCACATAGAAATAATATTAGTCTAAGGGAAATATGTAAGGTAGTATTTTTTTTTTCTAGCCTGAAAAATGAATAAATTATTGTTCCCCGGAACAAGGAGAATACAGGAGATTCTGACCTAAATGTCACCTCCTTACAAATATTGGTAACCAAAATAACTATTAGGCTATTATTATTTTGCTAAATTTAATTCTTTGTGGATGGAACCTATTTTATAATTAGGTGAGAGGTACTATATAAACTGGGTGAAGATGATGAATAATATCTAAGAAATCCAATGCTAGTGGGCTTTAAAAAGCCCATACATTTATTTGAAAATAAAATTATAAACAAAACAGCCCAAGCATCCTGTCTATCCACCTTCTAATATCATTTGTATTTCTCAATTTGCTTTAAGATATACTGTTGAACTGTTGAAAAAAGACACAACTATACATCAGAAAATAATACAAAATGTTATACAAATGCCTATGTTTCTTCATCAATAGTTTTGGATTTTTTTTTTTTTTTTTGTGCAGAACTACTGGTGCTGAAGTAAGGACCACTAAAGTTTCATGGAGGGTGGGGACAAATGCCATGTTATAGTTTCTACAGTTTCTCTGCAATGAAAAATTTGCAGGTGTAAAGAGAAATATTAGCTCTGTGGTAAACAAACAAACAAACCAACAAAAAATGCTGACTTGTTCTTGAGTACTCTAAGCTTGGACTGAAAATTTTCACTTTAGGCTACCTTTTGTGAAAAATTTTTCTATCAGTTTTATTTGTTCTGGATGACCTACATTTATGGTGGTAAAACCTTTAATGTATAATCATATAATCATATTTTCTGTACATGCCACATATGTTAGAAATAAACTATTTTAGGCGCATATCAAAGCATTAAAGTATGTTTATGGATTATCTCATACTGTTAAGGTAAAGTTAGATTCCCTGTTTACTGTGGGTCCACTTGCGTGAAGGTTACAGAGGGAGCCTTTGAAATCTCTAAATATAGCTTAAAAGAGTTTCTCTACATCTAAAATGTCATGACATTAACATCCAGTATCTTGGGATGCTCCAAAGTTAGAAACTGGGAAACTGATCCTTTCCAGTTGCATAGAGCTCTAATTTCTAGCCTTACAACTATTCAAAGAAATGGACCTACCTTCTGACATTTTAGATTAAAAAAAGGATTTTTTCTGAGTCCAGCTCATTCTGTATATTAGGAAGACATATTTTCTGAGGAAGAATTACTAATTTAAGAAGGGTTAGAATGAATGACTTGGTGTTGTATTTAATTAAAAATAATAATAAGAAAGGTCCCTACTGGTTCTTTACAGGTATTCTATAGTTCTGACTTTTATAAGAGGGTGTGTAGGTCATAAAAATTATATCAATTACTCAAAAATATATAAAAAATTATATTATAATCAACTTCATATTTAAGAAAAATGGACCTACTTATGTAGTCCTTAGTGAAACTAGGGTTTGAAGATGCAGACATAAATGCTTTTTATGAGCAGAGAAAGGAGATTTTATTTGTTGCTATTAAGAAATAAGGTGTAGTGTGTGCTTAGTTTTCTTTGACCCAGTGCTCATCAGTTGTGATTGTCTGTTCTGGGTTTTTTTTGGTGGTGAGATTGAATGTGTAATTAATTGCAGATATGAATATAAAAAGAAATTTACTTTCTCAGTACTCTTCAGCAAAGCATTTCATTGAACTGGATGACAAATCAGTGTCTGAAGTTGTGTGTCACAGCCTGACTGCTTTTCCATTTAGGGCCTATTTCACACTGACTGAAAAATGGTAGAGTGGTTCAGCTCCATTTGCTGAATAACCTGGAGGTCCTTAGGGGGAAAGGGGAAAAATCTGCTGTGTTTCAGAGAGTGTTGGATCTAACTTGAATTCTTGGCATGCAAGTAGCCTATTTCTCTTGCTTGCAATAACTTACATTAAGCCTGGCTTTGACTAGTGTGATGGGAATATCAGACATCTCCCCAGAGTAACATTTTGCAGTACAGCAGGAAAAAAATGCAGTTGTCTATATGTTTGCACAGAAAATTACATATACATTTCTGAGTTGGATCAATAATGCTTCTTGACATTGCACATGCCAGTTTATGGAATAGAATTCAAAATCAAAAATTTAAGAATTTTCAGATGTACTACCATTTTTCTGCCTGAATATTTTGGAAAGGCCTTGTTTTTGAAATCTGAATTTTCACAGCATTATGACCACCATGTCATGGATGACTATGGGACAAAATGGAGAAAACCAAGATCTTTAGTTTATATTAATACAGTCCAACATAACTTCAGAAACTTATCTACCAAAGTTCATTTTAATTTATACCAACTTCACTATTTCCTAGATAATGTCTGCAAAAAAAAGAATAGTATATCTGAATATATAGGCATGTTAAAAAATTGCACATAAAAGACTTAGAAATAGACACATATATCAACTGCTTTAATGTACAGCAGTTTTAAGAAATTCTATGTTATATCTATAGTTGATTATGTAGCAAAATAGACTTCAATATTTTGTTTACATGAAATCTAATTTAATAATGATCTATAAAAATAATCATCACTAACAATGATGTCTCTGGAAAGACCAACATTTGAACCGCAGAAAAACTGGAATATTTAGAGCTAGAAAAATCAAGAAACATTTGAATTTAAGTGAGTATGAAATGCTTACTAGATAGTGAAAGCATGCCTGGTTCAATAAAACTCAGATGTCAGTTGAGCTGTTTTATTTTCCTTTTGCACTGTTCTCTTCCTCCCTCTATTACCTTATTTCATATTGTCTTCCTTCTAAATGTGAGGTTCTAAATCAGTTATTCTTAGTCATCTAGCAGTTCCACAAGACTCTTAGAGAGGCAAGAATGGATAAAATTGGATAGACTTTTTTTTTCTCCAGCTTTTGCTTCTTGCTGACAGATGTTGAACATGATCTGAAGTGAATTTTAACCCTAAAGAAGCTTTATAGAGAAATTCTGAGATAACCTTCTTATAATGAGTTCATTGTTAACAATTCTAAGCTGTACTTTCACATTATCTATCATGGCTTACAGACAAAGAATCCCTATAATTCTCTCCAGCCAATTCAGCAGATCTGACAGTGTTTTAGCTGTGGTGATGTGTTTTTCCATGTAATTGGGACATGGAAGCATTCTTCACTGATATTTTTTGCTCCTGGGAGGCCTTGCATAAAAAGAGGATTGATCAAATGGTCTCCTAGAGGGGTGCCATTGCTTCAGGCTGGTCATTTAGGGTGGCCAACTGAAATATAAGGCAAATATGAGGCAGATAAAAATAAAAAAGAACAAACGAAGGTAGCTAGAGGCAGAAAAACAGTCAGTCCATTCTTTTGTTATAGCTGTGCTTCAAGCATCAGTGCTTGTAAGATGCTCCAAAGTGGCCCTAGGATGAAGTTCTGTAATTGCAGGCAAGCAAGGCACAGATGTTAACTTTTATTAAATATCAACAGAATTTAATACTGGCAACAGCCCATTGCTGAAGGAGAAAGGAGGATGGGAAGGAAATTCCTTCTCTGAGATGATTTCATGCTTACTGTCCTTCAGACCTGCTCATCAGACCTGTCATTATGCTCTGTGTGCCTGACAGAGTCAGGCTAGATATGAATACCTTGATAGCTTTATGCACTTGAGTTCTGTATATAAGCTTTTGCTCATGAGAGGCAGTAGGCTATCCTGCCTGGCTCCCAGCTGTTGTTACTGAAGGTACAATTCCCTCTTAAGTCCGGTGTGGTATCTGTCGTCATTATGGATATGTCTTTACTTCCTTGGAGTGTCTCAAAAGTCATTAGACACTAACATTTAGGTAACTGAATCCTTCTCAAAATCCTAAATGGATTCCTTGAGTGGATGAAGGCATATATTAGAGATGCTGATAACAGTGCAGCAAAATGGTCCTTTCTCCTTTGCCCTCACACTGAAATGAAGAAGGTTTAAAGAAGGAGGCAAAATCTTCTTTCTGCTCATTAGCACTTTGTAGGTTTGGTGGCTTTTTAAATGAAAAACAAGTTTTTAATTTAATTTAGAGAGAGACATTATTGGGTTCTGGTAATTTACCATGACACGGCTTTATCCAGCTGCAGTACGGTTTTGTTAAGGCAGATTTACTGATGCACTTGGACTTTTCTATATTTTACTCAGTGGGTACAAGTGAGGTTTAAGAATATCTCTAAGATCTCAGATCTTCTGCCCCTTCACTGGACCAAACTAGTAATTTAGATATACGAGTCTTGTTCGTTTAGGTTATCCCTCTCTTCAGATTATTTGAATAGCACTGTGTTCAGAACTTTCCCTAAGATCATGCAAAAAGGAATTTTATATAAAGTTATTTTACTTTGTCTAATTCAGAACATTACAATATTGAATTGCAAAGCGTTGATGACAACTTAATTGGTTTTAACTTGTCAATGCACCCACACAGTTCTTTGTTTTTTCAGATTGACCATATGCAAGCTGCCTTTATGCTGAAGGATCCCACCCGGAAGTGACTACTCAAGAGCCATTACTCAAAGGTAAATGTAGAGTTGAAAGGTATTCAGTGCTAACAACACAATCCCTCCCACCTTTGCCTCTGCTCCAGTCCCCCACGGTGCTACAGGAAATGCTAGCAGTAGAGATTGTCCCAGGAGACATTGCTTTGCTTTGCAATGTTCATGCCAAAAGACAGCATTATTTTCGCCTGAAGTTCTCTTTTATGACATGTACAGATCAGCATAAAGTACTCTGCAAAATTAATTGAATTCTCCAATAATTGTTCTAAAGCCAAATACCATACAGAGCCTTAAGATATATATGCATTTTCAAATGTCTTTGTAGCCTGATTTGGGCCATTTACCTCACGAAATCTCAGCTAAAGGCTGAGTGCATTAATGAAACTGCAATTCAATGTACATATTTTTTCTTTTCTGCTTTTCTTTTTTTGATGTGGATGCTTTTGTTTTCTGCTACAGTGAACGTGTTTCTGAGGTTTACTTGATTTGTCCACCTGTTGGTGACAATATGAGCAAGGATGAGGAATAACAGTGAATGGATATGAAGAGAAAGAGAATTGTGTCAAAGAAGATTAGAGAGAAGTATACAGACACAGCAAATCCAGCTTGATAGTTCTAGGAGATTTAATAGAGCAAGGAAATCAAAGTTTAGTCTTACAAAGCTGTCTAAACTGGGGGCAGTATTCCTCTGCTGTGTTCTGGCTCCTACTGCGCAGGTTCTCTGATTCCATCCCACACTGAGGGGTCTGCTGTCAAGGATGTTGTGTCAAAATTAATGAACGAATTCACTTTCATTTAGTATGAAAAACGGATATATCTTCTAGAACATACTGAGAGATGAGACTGGTCAAAACCAGTTTGGACCAATGACGATACGTTGAGTTAAACACTGGAGCACTCAGAGGATCACAAAGACTTCAGCGCCTGCTGACACAAAAAGATCGAGAGATGTGTTTCTTCAGAGATAAATTCTAGAGTGGATCAGAGATATTAAACAGTTGATTTAGTGGCAAAAGAAATAAGGGTAATTTGTGCATAGTAAGAATTTTATTTGGAACAATCCTTGTTATATAAAACCCATAAATGGCAGGAATTTGAATGTAAAGTACCAGAAATTATGGACTATATGTACATTAGTAAATAATTCAATACAGTAGGGAAGGATCAGCAGATCAAAGCAGGACATGTTGGAATTTATGTCATACATGAAGTCTGGAGTTTCAGTTCTACACTGGATTTAACATGATTTCCCTGACTAAACATATCAGCTCTGTGTATGGCTCAAAGCAGCCAAAAGGACCAGTCACTGTGTCACATCCTTCTGTGAGTCATGACATGAAGATACATTTGGTGCATACATCAAGCCACCATTTTTATTTAGATTTCTGTTAAAGAAATCAGCTTTGCAGTGAGTGAAGTTACTCTGAGCTGAATTGCATGTTTTGCTCTAGAACAACAAGCAATAGAAAAATTTCTTAATAAATTAATAAAAATATATCTGTTCATATACCTCAAGGTGTGTCTAGTTATAACTCCAACTTCAATGAATTTATATTCAGTATTTGATTTTTCTCCATGTGTCTATTCTCCCCCAAATGAAATATAAAGGACTTAATAGGTATTACATAAATGCAAACATTTATAGACTCATAGGATCATGGGCTGGAAGTGACCTTAATTTTTTTTTATTTTCCACCTCCCTGCTGAGGGCAGAGATGCCACCCTGATACATAAGCATTTTATAAAAGTAAACTTTAACTGGAGTTATGTTGAACAAATTTTTTTAATTTTCCTTGCTTCATCTCTTTGTATGTATGCATATAGTGTTTTTACACACTTTTTAAAATTAAGAATTGATGAAATTTTTCATTTGAAAGAAAAACTGTACTATGTGTTGCTAGTACTGTTAAGCTACAGATGTAGCAGAAGAGTAAATGGTAATATTATAGGTTCATGCTTTTAATTTATTAATTTAGAAATTTTATTTTTCAGTGCTGTATGTTTCTCTCATATTTTGCATTCTAGATGTTTTACTATGCTGTTTTCCCCTTCTTTTTAAAGCACCACTAATTCATCTCAGTGCAGCAATAATCAGTAACTGGGAAGGAGTTTGGAAGGAGAGGGAGGGAAAGAGAGAGCTTTTGAAGTAAATGAAGCATTACCTATGACTGCTGCACATGCCAGTGCCTGTTTCTCTACTAGCATCATATCCCCTCTTCTGAGCATTTGAATGAGAACTCATTTCCCAGATCATTCCATGCTCAAGGGCAATAGTTACCTTCACCACAGAGAGAATTAGCACTGACTGTTATAATTTTGGAAATACATAGCAATCACTTATGACAGAAACTCAGACCTCAGAATCCATTAATGAAGAATGACAGAGCTGAGCTCAGAGATGGTGGCCCAGAGCTGCTAGATTTGCTGTTCTACACAATTGGTTCATGGAATCCCTATGTAGATCATCTTCCATTTTCTTTTTCTGTCTTTTTCCTACTTTCCACTAGTCTTTATGATTTGATCCACTTAGCCTCTCAGCTGTATTACCGTTTTTGTTCATTGCATTGCTTTCCTTACCATTCTGTTTGGATACTTTTTTGGATTAATCATATCTTAAAAAGAAAATGCTTAAATGAACTATGTTTTACAGTTGCTTTGCATCAGCATGAACTCCTTGTTTTTCTTGTATGTTGTCCAGATAGCTGCTTTTGTTTTATTTCACAGAATCATATTCATAGAACAGCCTGGGTTTGAAGGCACCTAAAGATCGTCTAGCTCCAACCTCCCTGCTGTGGACACAGTAATATTTCAATTGACCAAGTTACTCAGAGCTCTATCTTTGATCCTCTGTATTTCAAAATTAAACTTTATTTTACTTTGCAGGTCTTAAGGATGCATGAAAGCCATGTGTAGGTGTAACTAACACTATTTACACTAACTAACTAACTATTTACACTGTTGGGGGTAACATAATGTTCATAAAACTTCTTTTGGGATTCTGCAATTTGTGGTAAACCAAAAAAATATAACGTTAAAGCTCACTTCTAAGTACACATGCTCTCTAATAACATTTATTTTCAAATGGAATTACAGAAAATCTAAAGTCTGAGCCTGATGTCTCTCTCTCTGAGTAAGTTTCATTTTCACATACTATTAGATAGATATTTGTAACTGGAAAAAAAAGGCTTGAAGCAATGTCTGAGAAATACCATAGATAAAGATCTACATTGTTTTGAATTAATGTTTACTTGGCACTAGTACTTTTCTTTCTGAAGGAATCTCGGAGACACTTGTGTTTAAAACACTTATGATTAGAGATTATTTTATCATAAATATGCCAGTCTCATGCATACAAATTTTGTTGAGCTAGGGACACCCTGCAGAATGATTTACAGCTGGACTTCGTGGCACTGACCACAGCCCTCGGAGACTAGTGGTTCCACCAGTTTTCAATGCACACTACTTATCTCTTCCATACTTCCTCATTTTGTCCATGAAGGTGATATGGGAGAGTCTTGAAAACCTTACTAAAGTTGGAATAAACATCAGCCACTTCTCTCACTGCCCCCTGCTACCCCTTTGCCACCCTGAGTTGAGCTAATCCTTTTGTTGTGAAGGCTACAAGGTTATCAGGCATGACTTCCCCATTGTAAATCCATGCTGACCAATCTTATCACTTTCTTTCCTTTAACACATTTGGAAAAGGTTTCCAGGGCTATTTGCTCCATTGCATTCTCCAAGACTTAGGTGCAGCTGACTGAATTGTAGTTCTCTGAACCCTACTTACCTTTCTTGAAGGCAGGGGTGACCTTTGCTTTCTTCCAGCCCCTAAGGAACCTCCACTGATCATCATGACCCTTCAAAAGTAATTGATATTGGCATCACAATGACATCAGTTTCCTCAGAATTTGTAGACGCATCCTACAAAAGCAAGGCCTCAGTGACTGGAAAATGAAATATCACACCCATTTAAAAAAAGGGTTAAAAGGAGGATGCTGGCTGTCAGTGTAATCACAATATGTAGTAAGATAATGGAACAGAATCTCCTGGAAGTTATGTCAAAACATATGGAAGATGAAGAAGTGATTAGAAACAGCCAGTATGATTTCATCGAGGGCAAATGCTGCCTGATGAATCTAGTGGTCTTCTAAAATGAAGTAACTGCTTTTGTAGACAAGGGAAGTCATTAACAAATATTTTCTATCTGGACATTAGTAAGACCTTTGGTATGGTCTCCCACAATAATCTTGCCACTAAATTGAAGATAAGCGTTTGATAGATGAACTGTCACCTGCATAAGGAATTGGCTGGATGGTCACATGCAAAGAGTTGCACTCACATGTTCAATGTTTAAGTGAAAACCAGAAATGAGTGGTCTCCCTCATAAGTCTGCATACTGGGACAAAATCCATTTAATATCTTCATCAATATATAGAGGAGTCAAGTGCAACCTCAACAAGCTTACAGATGACAGTTAGTGGTACAGTTGATACATGAGGAATGCCATCCAGAAGGACCTTGACAATATTGAGGACTGGGCCCAGGCGACTCTCATGGTGCTCAACACGGCCAAGTGAAAGGTCCGGTATCTGGATCAGGATAATCCCCATTACCAGCATAAACTGGAGATGAATGGATTGAGAGCAGTCCTGAGGAGGTCTGGTGGATGAAAAATTGGTTATGAGTTGGCAATCTGCACTTACAGCCCAGAGAACCAACCCTGTCCTGGAGTGCACAAAAGCAGTATGGCCATCAGGGAAAGGAAGGGGATTCTGCCCCACTGTTCCTGTTCTTGTGAAACTCCACTTGGAGAGCTGCATCCACCTCTGGAGTCCTAACAAGATGAAAGACAAGGATCTCAGAGTGGGTCCAGGGGGAAGAGGGTAGACTTAGATTGGACACAGGGAAGAAATTTTTTTATGAAGAGCATGGGCCCAGTTCTGCAGAGCAGCCTCCATCCTGAGGACCTCCAACCAGGCTGAGGTCTCCTTTGAGCTGGAGTAGCTGATCCAGATTTTCTTGTTCACATCTGTACAAAATGCTTACCCTTTGTGATCCATTCTAGTACTTACCCTTTGTGATCCATTCTAGTAAGTACTTCTAGATCCAGTACTTACATTAGTATCTCCATCTCCCTGTTGCAACTTTGTGTGACCTTCACCAGTCAAGTCGGCTGAGGCAAGAGCTCAACACCCTGCGATCAAGTTTCTGAAGAAACTGAAATCTGCTTTCTAAGGAGGGTGTGAAATTACCAAAACTGTCTTGAATAAGAAGAAAAGTGACATATTTTATCCTTGACCCAACACTTTATCTTGGCGTAAGAGCACTTGATGTTTACCTACAACAAACTAAGAGAGAAATGAAAGAGAGAAAAAAAAACCAGGGCTGATCCACAGAAATTGTAATTGGTTTAAAAGGCTGATTTAATTGCTAATGAAAAGTAATCCCATGGTGCAGAAACACTAATGTTTACAAATTTCGCCACTTACGTTTGAATTTTGAAAACTTCCTATCCTTTGTATTATTAGTTGTCTTACATGATAATAATCTTCAAGAAACTATTAAAAAAAATTAGGCTGACTTTGAATGCAGTTAAATAATGCTTATTTGGTGTTCCCTCCTTACACATATGCTCTTCTGGTTCTTTAATGTTTGTGGAGCAAATGAAGAATTTCTAAACAGTGCCAGAGGGACATTGTGCTAATTCTTTGAGAAAGAAAAGCCTTACAATTTTACTATGCCTTAAGCACTGCTGGTTTATGATAAGGTCTTTGTAGAGGTGCAATAAAGATAATGGCTTATTTAAAATACTATCAATATACTTGGTTAGGAAACAAAAACCCCAGTTCTTCATGCATTGTATTTAAATGAGTGAATCTTCTTATTCTTCCTTTTAAGGATTGCCATGCACTCATGGGTACTCTGTTATGATTGTTATGGTGGGGTTTTTTTGTTGTTGTTGGGTTTTTTTGTTTGTTTTTGTTTTGATTTTTTTTTGTTTGTTTGTTTTTTTGGTGTAACTGTGTTTAAATATAGAAATATGTCTTGGATTAAGTGCCACCCTCTCTGAAAGAGTTTTTTTTCTGAGAGGAGGGTGAACATGCCTTGGGGTGACCAAACACCACTGCACATATCTTTTTTAAATTCAAGTGTGAATACAAATGCATGAATACACATATAACATGTAAAAGTATGTTGTAGTAAGTATATTAATTATTTTAAAGGGAGTTAATAATACCTAGAGCTGAACAGATTATTTAAAAAAAATCAAGATAAGTAACCTAAGATTTTTGGTGCAGATTTTGTGTTCTATTGCATGTTCTTTGTCTATCAGTTTCAGAAAAAGGTGTTAATGGTATGTGGCATAGAGAAGGGACTAAACAGTTTACTTTCCAGTGGCTGCTTTTGACTGCAGTAAACCATTCGAAATGTATTCAGGTAGTAACTGAAAAGGGAGTGCAGGGATTTATTTGACTGTCCTGGGAAGAGGAGTTCAATTATCCTGTGGATCTCTCATCACATGTGTAAAATATGGGTGTAAAGTAATGTGATCAAAGCTGACCAACAACACCCCAGCAGCACCGTGACAAGAGCTTCAGATATAACAATAAGCTATGTATCATCATTTTTTTTCCCCACTAAAACCTAATGGGATGGTATAGCTTTTGATCTCTGCTGATAAGGCCTTGTACGCATCCTGTATGACAATGTGTATTTTGAGCGTGTTGTCCTTCTGGCCTATATAAATAAATATTTTGAAGGCAGATAGGAGTGCCCTCATTTCAAAAGTTTCCTTTTTTTCAACCAGAACATTTTTTCAGGCAGTAAGGTCCAGGGTTTCTGGTAGAGATTATATGTTGAATTGGAATGTTTTCCTTACCTCTGCTAATTTCAATATAGTAAATTTGAGCTATATTTGAGTGCTTTTTAAAAATGCTACTTTTGATACATCTGATATATAGGTTGTTATAAATTCTGCCATGCATCCCTACAATATTTTTTAAAGTCACTTAAGTCACCAGCTAAAATATGAGTTGCTTATATCCTGATGTTTTCCACAAATGATGGCTCACAGTAATCAATTTATAAGTCCATTGAGCCTTCAGCCAGATGTTATGTTGCTAACAGTTCCACTGGCTCCTCCAAATGCTGTTATCATTTTCCTGACCTTTCTGGTGCAACACCTTTGACCTCCTATTGATTTGGTATATTATAATGATTCTACACTTGTGAGGCAACAGTTACTGCTGTTCTTGGATATTTTCAGGCAGAGTGTTTTCCCACATGACTGTGTGAACAGTATTTTCCTGTGGTGAAATAATTTTTTTCTCCTCTTATTCAAGGGCTTTTTGTGAGCCAGAATGACAAAATTAACATCTGAAGGGCTGGTATTTTTTATAATGTCTCATTAATCTTATGGAATAAATGCTTGGCAAATTCCAAAGACAGAATATGTTAAAACAGAGACAGTTGTAATATGACATTAATATAAAATGTAGTAAGAATTTAATTTTTTTGAACATATATGCTAATGCTATACTGAAAAAAGCAAGTGCTATTAGACTCAGAGAATCAGTGCAGAGAAACAGATTGGATAAGTAGTGGAACTGCCCAATTTTTTGCATGATGTTTTAAGGAGCCCAATTCACTTTCCTAATTTCCCATGAAAAAGATGGCTTGATGCTTAACTAGCTCTGTCACACAATTGCAGAATTTCTGAGGTGGGAAGGGAACTCGGGAGTTCAGATGGTCCATCCCCCTGCTCAATCTGGATCAGCTGCAGCAGTTTGCCCAAGAAGTTTAAACTCACTAGTCATTCTTTGAGGCTAATTAGATCTTCCTATCTGCAATTCAGTACTTCAAAGATTAGACTCCGCTGTTAACAATAATTTGTACTATGCCACCTCTTCCTATTGTAGTTAGATATGGGTAGTTTTAATATTTCTTCTGTGTTTGTCATATAGGAAAACTCAATGAGTACAGTAGCAATCAATTTAAAGTAAATAGGTACCTCTGACAGTTTAAAGGAGTCCCAAAGAGGATGACAAGAGATTGGTACAAGACAATAAATAATTTATAGCTGGAGAAAATTAATCAAGAACCCCCAATTCCCTCTGTCCCCACACGCAGGTGCTCAATTACAGTACCTCTAAGAAGAGGCAGGAGACCAATAACCAAACATCTGTGACATAAATGAATTTAACTATTAGGGAAGAAAGTCTTGAAGCATATAAACACACTAAAGTAACCAAACCAAATTACAATACAATGTACGTTTGCTTTGTATAATGCCTTTCATTATACTATTTCCCAGAACCCTTCACATAATTAAATAATATAAATGTTATGGAGTGTAAGTGAAATACAGCAGCAATAGAGAGATTTTCTAATGGAGGCAGAGAACATAATTATAAGCTATTGCAAAGAGTAAAAAAAAAAAATTGGAAAAAGAGAAGAATTCAGACAAAGATGACTGTGAGACTCAGTTTCAGAAATCTGGTGTATTGGGGACAGATGGGCTCCATTTGTTAGCAAACAGCATCTTCAGTCATAAATTTGTCAAGCTGGTGAAGACAACTTCAAACTAGAATTACTGTGGGATGGGAATATCAATCTATCCCACTCATACCAGTTTGATGCCAGGGCCAGCAAAAGATGTCCAGAGCCTGGAGAGGGATCACAGGTCAGCAGGCGAGCACACGAAAGGTAGCAAATAGTAGTTGAAGCCACTCCAGCCAGTGAGTCATCTTCATCAGAATCCAATGTAAAAGTCTCTAAAAATATGCA